TACATCATGGTGTTCATCATGGTGATACCATGGTTACTTATGGTGTTCATCATGGTGTATACCATGGTGTACATCATGGTGTATACCATGGTGTACATCATGGTGTATACCATGGTGTACATCATGGTGTATACCATGGTGTACATCATGGTGTACATTATGGTGTTCATCATGGTGTACTTAGTTATGATTATAATAATAATTATAACAATAATCTCCGCTTGGGCTGACTAAAAGTATTAGAATTAGATACACATATAACCCACAAATAATCACACAAACACCTTTCTTATATATACACTTGCTCCCTTACCTTCGTGTTAGTGTGTGACTGGTTAATGCTCCAAATCTGACCAAAATGTCATCATCAGATTTCTTTCTCCCATGTGCAGGTTGTGTATTGTAGAAATTTGATAGTACTGTTAAAATCGGAAGGGAGTGGTAGAATGGGAGGAAGGAATAGTAGTAATTGTGGTTTTTCTATTAACGGTATTGCTATTTACCTTGGGTAAGGAACGGGGTGGATGGCAGTTCATGCAGCCGATCTCCACCTGGTTGGGTAGCAGGGGTACTGAGCCGTCCAGAAGGTGGTGTCTGTTGATGAGCGAGAGGCACTGTTTCGGGTACTGCTCGAACGGGTCGGGTAGGTCGGGGAAGGTATCCCTTAGAGCCGTGGCTAGCGGTCGGCCGACCGTCCGACGGAAGGAGTACCTGAGCACCGCGGTAGCCAGGGTGTTGACCAGGCGTTCCCACAGGGTGAGGTTGTCGTCGTAAGGGACAATTATGGACGGCAAAGCGGCGGGGGAGACGACGTTACCCAAATACGACAACTGCAGTGGTTCCGTTCCAACGGGGGCCAAGGTAATGAACGGCGCCGGGTTGTCCAACAGGAAAGGGAACGCCATTTCATTCGCGGCACTGTTGATAATAATGGCGTCGAACTTGTCCCTGCGATGCCATAGTTCCATGACTTTGGGGTTGGCATACAGTTCCCGGGCCACGGCAGGAAAGGCTTTCATCCACAATTTAAAGACCGCCTGCCCTGCACGGACCTCAAAAAGGTCCATCTGGTCCAGGGCCGAGTGTGGGGAGATGATGTGAGTGAGGTTGGGGTGATGGGGTATGGGATCCCCACTAGACATGAGGGTGACGGTGTGTCCTCGCGAAATCAAGCCCTCTGCCAACACCGCGAACAAGCTACGCACTGATCGCGAACCGAAGGGCGTCAGGAGCAAGAGGTCTGCTGCTTGAGACGGCGCAGGCAGCAACAGGAGCAGCCAGGCAGCAGCAGGCAGCAGACGGGTGACCTGCATCGTGTAAACACCACCAGCAGACTCACTGGCAGACTTCACGCGCTCCGCCACGATAGGTAACTCGCGGTTTTAACGCCAACTCAGGTAAAAAAGCAACTTCTGCGATGACTGAGGCTGGACTGGTGAGGAGGAGAGACAGAGAGAGACTGTTGACGGAGAGATGAGACAGAGAGAGACACACACACACGTGACAAGAGATGGAGACAGCCAGGAGCAGAGTGGCTAACACTGGCTGTAATCAGAGTTGGCTGACACGGAGTGTAATCAGAGTGGCTAACCACTCAGTGATAAGTCTTGGAGAGGTTGACATACCCACAACAATGTCCAGGTGCAAATAACCTGCTCCTCGTTGTCTTCCTCCTTCTCCTCCTCCTCATCTTCATCCTCATCTTCCTTCTCCTCCCCTACCTCATCCCCTACCCAGCAACACCCACACGAGACATGGTACACCCCAATACCAGCCCCTACCACCACTAAACACAGGAGAGGCGCCCCCCACCACCTGCTAGTACTCCACAGGTCAGACAGGCTCTAGGTACCCCACACACACACCCAGCCACAACTCTACGCTTCTCTCACCCCTTCTCTCACTTTCTCTTTCATTTCCTCTCTCTCTCTTTCCTCTGTCTCTCTCCCTTTCAGTTCCTCTCACACACCCTCTCTCACTCCCTCTCTCACACGCTCACTCACTACTCTATAAAAAAAACTCTAGTCCCATAAACAGAAAAATACATTGTCTCTCTCTATTCTTTGCTCTCCTTAGCAATTATTTCGCTGCTTCCTAGTGCCATCCTCCTTTCCTAAACTTCTAAAGCATACATGTATAAATTCTTTTGTGTAAAAAGACAAGCAAACACTAGGACATATTTAGTAGAAAACATGTCTGTCCTGCGACCTTGATCATTTCTGACATATTCTTTGTCATACAGGTAAAAGGACTTGAGTACTGGAGGTGGAAAGTACGGTACCTGCACTCTGAAGGATGGGTGAGGATGTTACCGTCCTGGAGGTGGGAAGTACAGTACCTGCACTCTAAAGGATGGTAGGATGTTCATCCTGAGGTGGGGAGTACAGACCTCACTCTGAAGGATGGGTGAGGATGTTGACTCTGAAGGTGGGAATAATACTGCACCTAAGGATGGTGGGAAGTTACAGTCCTGGAGGTGGAAGTACAGTACCTGCACTTTAAAGGATGGGTGAGGATGTTACAATCTTGGAGGAGGGAAGTACAGTGAGTGCACCCTGAAGGATGGGTGAGAATGTTTCAGTCCTGGAGGTGGGAAGTACAGTACCTGCACTCTGAAGGATGGGTGAGGATGTTACAGTTCTGGAGGTGGAAATAAAGTAACTCCACCCTGAAGGATGGGTGAGAATGTTACATTCCTGGAGGTGGGAAGTACAGTACCTGCATTCTGAAGGATTGGTGAGGATGTTACACTCCTGGAGGAGGGAATTACAGTGAGTGCACCCTGAAGGATGGGTGAGAATGTTTCAGTCCTGGAGGTGGGAAGTTCAGTACCCGCACTCTGAAAGATGGGTGAGGATGTTACAGTTCTGGAGGTAGGATGTACAGTGACTTCACCCTGAAGGATGGGTGAGGGTGTTACAGTCCTGGAAATGGGAAGTACAGTACCTGCACTCTGAAGGATTGGTGAGGATGTTGCAGTCCTGGAGGTGGGAAAATAAAGTACCTGCACTCTGAAGAATGGGTGAGGATGTTACAGTCAATGAGGTGGGAAGTACAGTACCTGCACTCTGAAGTATGGGTGAGGATGTTACAGTCCTGGAGGTGGGAAGTACAATAACTGCACTTTGAAGGATGGGAGAGGATGTTACAGTCTTGGAGGAGGAATGTACAGTACATGCACTCTGAAGGATTTGTGAGGATGTTATAGTCCCCGAGTTGGGAAGTACAGTAACTGCACTCTGAAGGATGGGTGAGCATGTTACATTCCTGGAGGAGGGAAGTACAGTAACTGTACTCTGAAGGATGGTAGAGAATGTTACAGTGCTGGAGGTAGGAAGTACAGTACCTGCACTCTGAAGGATGCGTGGGTATGTTACAGTCATTGAGGTGGGAAGTACAGAACCTGCACCCTGAAGGATGGGTGAGGATGTTACAGTCCTGAAAGTGGGAAGTACAGTACCTGCACTCTGAAGGATGGTAGAGAATGTTACAGTGCTGGAGGTAGGAAGTATAGTACCTGCACTCTGAAGGATGAGTGGGGATGTTACAGTCCTTGAAGTGGAAAGAACAGTACCTGCACCCTGAAGGATGGGTGAGGATGTTACAGTCCAGTAGGTGGGAAGTACAGTAACTGTACTCTGAAGGATGGTAGAGAATGTTACAGTGCTGGAGGTAGGAAGTACAGTACCTGCACTCTGAAGGATGAGTGGGTATGTTACAGTCCTTGAGGTGGGAAGTACAGTACCTACATCCTGAAGGATGGGTGAGGATGTTGCAGTCCTGGAAGTGGGAAGTACAGTACCTGTACTCTGAATGGTGGGTGAGGATGTTACAGTCCTGGAGGTGGGAAGTACAGTGAGTTATCCCTGATGGATGGGTGAGGATGTTGCAGTCCTGGAGGTGGGAAGTACAGTACCTGCACTCTGAATGATGGGTGAGGATGTTGCAGTCCTGGAGGTGGGAAGTACAGTGAGTTATCCCTGAAGGATGGATGAGGATGTTACCGTCCTGGAGGTGGGAAGTACAGTACCTGCACTCTGAATGATGGGTGAGGATGTTGCAGTCCTGGAGGTGGGAAGTACAGTGAGTTATCCCTGAAGGATGGATGAGGATGTTACCGTCCTGGAGGTGGGAAGTACAGTACCTGCACTCTAAGAGATTGGTGAGGATGTTACAGTCCTTGAGGTGGGAAGTACAGTACCTGCACCCTGAAGGATGGGTGAGGATGTTGCAGTCCTGGAGGTGGGAAGTACAGTACCTGCACTCTGAAGAATTGACAATATCGCTGGAATAACGATACCCGACGATAAAGACGTCGGCCAAAACACGCTGTTATTCACCCCCCCCCCATTAAAAACAAAAACACGCTGTTATTCACCCCCCCCCATTAAAAACAAAAACACGCTGTTATTCACCCCCCCATTAAAAACAAAATAACACATACCTTTCCATTATATAACAGTACCCATATAACAACACCTAAGCCTTCACCTATATCTGTACACAGGTAAACATGTCTTAGATACGCCCTTATCTTGTCCTGTCTTCCGTGCTCATGTCTTATCTGTTGTACCCCTGTTGCACCCTTGTTGTACCCCTGTTTAACCTTCAACGGGAAGGTGGTGAAAATAAACGTCTGTTGATTTAAGATAATAAAAATAATAATAATAATAATATAATAATATAATAATAATAATAATAATAATAATAATAATAATAATAATAATATAATAGTTGTAGTAGCAGTAATAGTAGTATTAGTAGTAGTAGCAGTAGTAGAGTAGTGTGTATCAGTAGTAGTAGTAGCAGTAGTAGTAGTATTAGTAGTAGTAGTAGCAGTAGTAGTAGTAGTAGTAGTAGTAGTAGTAGTAGTAGTAGTAGTAGTAGTAGTAGTAGTAGTAGTAGTAGTAGTAGTAGTAGTAGTAGTAGTAGTAGTAGTTGTAGTAGTTTTAAGTGAAATTGGTGACCTAGAAAATGTACAGAGAACCTTCATGAGACTCATAACTGCGATAAAACACCTCAGTTACTGGGAACACTTGAAGTTCCTCAACCTGTACTCCCTGGAACGCAGGCGAGAGAGATACATGATTATATAGACTTGTGAAAATCCTAGAGGGACTAGTACCGAACTTGCACACGATAATCACTCCTTATGAAAGCAAAATACTCGGCAGACGATGCAACATCCCCCCAATGAAAAGCAGGGGTGTCACTAGCACGTTAAGAGACAACACAATAAGTGTCAGGGGCCCAAGACTGTTCAGTTGCCTCCAAGCACACATAAGGAAGATTTCCAACAGACCCCTGGCTGTCTTCCAGAAGACATTGGAGAGGCATCTAAAGTCGGTTCCTGACCAGCCGGGCTGTGGTTCGTATGTCGGGTTGTGTGCGGTCAGAAGTAACAACCTGGTTGATCAGACCCTGAGCCATCATGAGGCCTGGTCACAGACCGGGCCGCGGGGGCGTTGACCCCCAGAACTCTCTTAAGGTATTATTATTATTATTATTATTATTATTATTATTATTATCCTCAATCATTATTATTATTAATATTTTAGTATTATAATAAAAATAATAATAATAATATAATAATAATAATTAATAACAATTATAATATATATAATATAATATTATAATAATAATAATAGAGGACAATTATTAATAATATTATTATTATCCTGAAATTACAATTATCCAGGATATATCTATAATCACCCAATCCTACTTACTGCTAGTTAAATATAAGTAGGTGTAAGTAACTAACACCTACCTACTACTGCTAGGTAAACAGTGACAGTAGGTGTAAGTAATAACACCCAGTACCTATATAATGCTAGGTAAAATGAACAGTAGGTGTAAGGTAACTAACACCCAGGTACCTACTTACCTTTGGGTGAACAGTGACTTTGGTGTAAGGTAACAAACACCCAAAGGCCCTACTTACGCTAGGTGAACATTTGGAAACAGTAGGTTTTAAGGAAAACAACACCCGGGGTACCATTTACTGCTAGGTAAACGTGACAGTGGGTGTAAGGTAAAACCCCCCAGGTCCCTTACTTACTGCTAGGAAAACAGTGACAGGGGTGAAAGGGTAACAAAACACCCGGTAACCCCCTACTTACGCTAGGGGAAACCCCCGGACAGTAGGTGAAGGAAAAATAACACCCAGGCCCTACTTACTGAAAAGGTAAACTTTTGCGGGAGGGGTAAGGTAACAAAACCCCCGGGTACCTACTTATGCTGGGAAAAAAGTGACGGTAGGTGTAAGGTTTAACCCTAACACCCGGGAAACCTACTTACGCTAGGTAAACAGTGACAAAGGTGTAAGGTAACTAACCCCCAGGACCTTCTTATGCTAGGTAACGGGGCCAGGTGGGGTTAAGGAAATAACACCCGGGTCCCTTACTTACTGCTAGGTGAAAACAGTGACAGTAGGTGTAAGGTAACTAAAAAACCCGGGTACCCTATTAAACTCCCTAGGGAAAAGGGGACAGTAGGGGGTAAGGAAAATAACACCCGGGTTATTTTCTTACTGCTAGGTGAACTTTGACAGTAGGTGAAAGGGGAAACTAACCCCAGGTCCCAAATTATTTGTAGGT